TGTGATTTCTGTGGCAAAATCGTGGTGCAGGTGTGTGTTGGGTTCAATCCTCCCTGACCATGCTGGCTCTGAGATTCCAACAACAGCTACTCCAGCTGGCTGCAAGGAAGGGTTGTACTAGAGAGCACTGGGTTTCAGAGCAGTGACAGAGGAGGCACTGTCACTTCAGTTCTGTAGCTTATCACCACACAAGCTGCATTTCTATTTGTTATGGGTTTTCTGTTAAAGGATGTGGCCACAAATCAGAGGTTGGCAAGAAAAGGATTACTCCAACCTCTTTAATTAGAGAAAGTTAAGGGTGTTTCTGTGTCGGTGATAGCTCAGGAGTGAGAGAGTTACTGCCACCGTGGGACCTTCTTGGGGCAGCAGAAGAACCCATCCCCTTCCTGGGCAGGTGGGAAGCTGCTGAGGGTGACAAAGCTGGGTGTAACATGGCCTGACTTACCTATTCCTGGTGGGCCTTCCAGCCGGGAGCAAATCACCTCCAGGGAAAGGCTTTTGTGTAACTCCCTGATTGGAAGATGTTACTTGAGATCCAATCAGAGCTCGCTTTTCAGTGAAGATGATCCTGGACCTGGGGACACCAAGAGAACCCTTGTGAGTGTGTGGGGCCTCTGCTGAGTGGGAGTGGCAGGAGCCATCAGCCATGGGCAGGGAAATGATCCATGTCTTTAGTCCTGGCCAAGTATGGACTTGGGTTCTCTGCTGTTATGTGGACCAAAGACTTCCATCAATCCTTTTGGAGCAGTGTTTGGGCCTGAACCCCACCAGGGAAATGTGCCTTGGTGAAACAGAGATGAAGTAGGGAGCAGTGCAGAGGCAATGGCCAGTATGAGCAGAGCATTAAAGAAAGCAAAGTATAATCTCTTTAATTTATTATTTAACTGAAAGGTATTTCAGGCCTATGACTACAGCAAACCACATTTCCTCAGTGCAGAAAGGCTTAGCTGAGCAGGTAGGAGCTGTAACCTCTTGCAGATTTCCCTTTCCCAACCAGCAGCACAGGCTAGCAGCACCTTTATCTGTACAGGAAGGCTGAGCCAGCACCTCAGAGGTCTCTGCCTTGAGCTGGTAGGAACACAGATATCAAAAACCCACCACTGACAAGTGATAGCCTCCTTGCACCTTCAGATATCTCCTGCGCCGATGCACGCTGATGAGAGAGTTAGTGAAACACGAGAGAGGCAGCGGGCAGGAAAGCACACCTGCAGGCACCCTTTCAAGGCTCTCTGGGGCTGACTGTATCGGGAGGGCCACGGCAGGCTTGCAGCTGGGCTGGCAGGAACCGGGAGATGCAGAGGTGGTCTCTATGGTTAGTGTAGAAACCTGTCTGGGGAGAGCTTCCTGAAACTTTCTTCTTCGTCTTCTTTGCTTCTCTGGCAGATGTGTGCACAGAGCACGGCTCGGAGCTGCGGTGATGAGTAGGGATTGAATCAAGGGGTAAAAGTTGTTTTCTTCATGAAATGAAATTTTCTAGGCTGTGAGGTGAGCTAGGCTGTAAATGTGGATTTGTGCAGTCTGAGAAGTGGAGGCTGTTTTACAAAGCAATTAAAAATTCAGCAATCATTCTGATACTCAAATGGGTTGGAAAAATACCTTCTAGAAATGTCATGTATCAAGAGGGATTATAAAAAACAAAAACAAACTCAACATCCCGATCACCAATAATTTATGGAAAAATAATAGCAGAGTGGATACATTTTGCAGCCCTTAACAATGAGCTGTTTAACCACTGCCAACTTGCAAACACAGCTGAAGGCAGAACTTGGACCTCTCTGGTATATCTTCATTATCTCACCTCCAGCAGTCACTGAGAGCAAAAAAGTCACAAACAAGTTTATGCTGGTAGCAGGGTCTTCAGTGAAAACCACTGAGACATCAAAGTCAAGTTCAAAGAAAAGAGGCAAACAAAGGGAACAAGTGCATTTGGTCAGGAAGCATGACTTCCTTTTGAATTAAGACATTAGACTGGAGATTGAAGGATGTGACCAGGGTCTTTCCTTGGCCACCCAGGCAGAACTCCACCATTGCTCCTGAGAAATGTCTGCTCTCATTGACTCCACCCGTGCTAGGAAACAAGGACACAGGCAAAATGCAGACCAGCACCTCAAAATCATTCTTTTCTGAACTGAAATGTTTTTAACATGCTCATTAAACACAAAACAAATCATCAACTTAAAAAAAAAAAAAAAACAAAACAAAAAACCAAAAAACTCAAACCAAAAAATTACCAAAACAAAACAAAAAACAAAACTCCAACACGTTTTAAGTAGATTTCTAGGAACAAGCCTTTTGTTTTGTGCTTTGCCATCACCCTGGCTCAGATCAGGAATGAGGTAGAAATACAATTAAATGTGGCACGAGTAAGAGGAGGTTATGGTGTTCCCATCACAATGTTACAGAAACATCCTTTGCCTATGTGCCTGCCTGTGTGGGCTTGAAGGAGGGGTGATTGCCATTGACTTAGCTGGCTTGGGTAGGGATCAGGATTACAAATACAGAGAAAAAAAACCTGGCTTTTTTGAAGGATCATTCTATGCTATGGAGTATTCAATGCTGTGCTTGCTCTCTGCTTTACCTTCAGCAGATTTATTTTGGCTCCTAACTACAAAGTCTGGCTCTTTCATTCAAGCGCTAATATTTTTTTTCCCAAACCAATTCAAACTCTGGCCCTTTTTCAGTTTAGGTTTAGAGTTGTCACATGGGTCAGACCTGTGGGAGCTGAAGCCCCAGGATTCCCTGCACAGAAGGTTGAAGAATGACAGGGAGTTGGCTGGGAAACACCTCACATTCAGGTACTTTTCTTTTGTTTTTGCCCTGGCTCCTTTTCCTCTTCATTTTTAATTAGTGGCACATGCTGAAATGATAATTTAAATTCTTTTCAGAAATCAAAAGAATTCCCACTGACAACATTATTAAGTTATAATTACAGAGGATAAAAAGGTTAATAGGAATTTGAGCCAAATATCTACTCTCCATTAAATGAGAACTTGACTGAACCTGCATTCCTTTCATTTTGGTAGGTTACTCTAGGTTTGAATGTGTCCAGGATGGCCCCACACTTGCGCAGAGGGCCACTGCTAGGACAGGTGGCCGTGACCAAGACAATTTACACAGACTTGTCTCGGGACAGCTCTTGCCTGACCAGCTCAAGATGGAATTTGTCAGAGAGGTGGGACTCCTCTTGGCCCTCTGAAAGATGTGTACTTCAAGCAGTGAGAAGAGCAGGGTCACACAGGTTTGTGTGAGAAAGGTGTTTAGGAGGTGGCACTGGGCTGCAAGGGAAATGCAGCCACTGTTGGTGGAGGGAAAATAATCAGCTTCCAGTGTCTGTCATCCAAGGAAAGCCTTTTCCTTCACATATACAGGGCAACACTTGCATGCAGAAACAAATGCAAACTGGCCTGAATCTACTGAGTGTTTTATATTTTCAGTGAAACAAGAAATGGGGAAAAGAAACATTTTCCTCCACATTAGCTCTCATTTTCTTCCACATGAGCTCTAAGTGTGCCCATCAAGAAGACGATTATTGTAATGGTTATACATGTTTAGAATGGATTTCAAAGTGAGTGAGGGTGTAGGTGAAAAAAAGCCCACTGCTTTTTCTGGGCACCTGCAGGCTGAGCTTCCATGGCTCCCAGCACTGGGATAAAGCCTGTTTAAACTGAAGCAAGATCAGCGCAGTTACCACTGTTGCCGCACAAGGCAGGAGTTTTGCCTTGAAGTCCTGTTGTAAGCTTGGCTTTCCTTTTTCCCTTTTTTTTCTCTTTAAAAGCTGTAACACATTGCCCAAGCCGTGTGGCATGCCTCAAGGCAGGCCTTTCCCTCTTCCCACGTCGCACCGAGTCCTGCAGGCTCTCACATCTTGCACAAGCGGTTTGAGGCATGAGCCCGGCAGCCCTGGCACAGGCAGGGGTTCCCCCAGACTTCCCCTTCTCTGTAATCCCTGCCTGGCCCCGGGCTCCTGCCTGTGGTAACTGCTGAGGAACGGCCTTGGGGCTCTCCCTGGCCCCAGCGTGGGTTGAGAGCCCAAACCACACAGGAGGGATGGATGGGAGAGACCAAACCGCACAGGAGGGATGGATGCGAAGCACACAGAACAACTGGGAGGGGGCTGCTGCAAGCACTGGTCCCTTCTCATGCTGAAAGCCAAGAGCACATGAGCAGGGACCTGTGCAGAGGGTGGAAAAGGCCTCTTTGCTCCTCCTTTTCTGTGCACTGCATGATTTGAGGGCCAGCACCTTCGGAGCTCAGCGCACACATGGCGACTCTTTCATCGTGGAGCTGAAGCCTGCTCTCATGAATATCAGTATGTCTTTGAAGCACTTGCATCAACTTACATTTCTGCAATTTATTTTCAAGCTACTCAATAAAATGTCTTTTTTCCTATGACAGAATGCCTTTTATTTGTTTGTTTGTTTTGTCAGGAATTGCTTTTATCTCTAGCCTTCCTAGGGCTGAACGACCCTCAGGATGTCAGCTGTGTGAGGCTCTTGCTGGTCTGTCCAATTATTTGCTGTGAAGCACAATGCACCAGGGTTTCAAAGTATCCTCTCACCTCTGTTTTCTTAAGACAAGCTTGAAAAAAGCCTCTTCTACAGTTACAAGAACTCCAGAATATTTTTCTCTTATTCAATTGATTTCTGACCTGATTGTCCTTAGATGAAAAAATAAATTAGCCAGCATTGTGGGATAAGGGCAGTTTTGCACAAAAGGTGCAGCGAGTCTCCCACTGACTGAAGCTGACCTGGACTTTGGTGTCAATAGAGATGTGCCCTGAGACCACAACATGCTCAGTACTCACTGTTTTGTGCTGTGTTCCTTCCACTTCCTTAACAATCAATGAGAACCAAGGATTTTGAGGCTATGGTGTGCAAAATTCTATTCCTTGCTTATCTAAGTGTGCTGGGAAAAACCTTCTTGGCTTGATTGTTGCTGTTAACACCACCGCCAAAGAACTGAAGACAAACAAGATTAGGAGGCCATGCAGGTTTAAGTAAAAAAGGAACACACTTTATTTATCTACAAGGCAGTACATTGTTGTATAAAAAATTAAGTGCAGATAAAGCTGCACCAAATGCTATTAAGGCAGCAAAGTCAGAGGCTGTTATAAAAACACAAAAAATTAAAAAAAAATAAAATAAAATCAGTGTTTTGCCATATCAATAAAGATTTGATATGGCAGTACAAAGAACCATGTATTTCTAAGAACCTGATTCAGTACACAAAACCCAAGTTAGGGAACAACTAGCTAGACATGGAACAAAAGAGACAACATGAACAAGACAGTGTTCTCCCAAACATATGAAGGTGCAATGCATGCTGTTACAAACCAATGAGAAACAAAACAACACATCCACACAAATAAAAATCTCCCAAGAACAGTGTTCAAAAATATTGCTTATAAAAAAAAGGGGAAAAAATATAAATGATGTAAAAAAAATTAAAACAAAAAGGTCTGAAATGCTAGTGCATAGTCAATTAGCTAACATCAACATTTGTTTTTTTCCATAAAAAGCTCTACTGCTCCTTTTACACTAGCAGCATGTCTACATGCTAAGGTCTGTAGCAGCAAAACACAGTATTCATTTGGCATTTACAAAATTAAATTACTGAATAAAAATATAATTTTTCTCATAAATCTATGTTTCATACAGTAATATTTTTTAAAGCAAGCTAATTACCCACCCCCCCCCAACAGAAACACACAACGTATAATGGCCTAGAACCAAAACAGAAGGGAGTATTTCAAGAGGCATGGATGTTTGAGCATTCACGATCTTGATCAGCTTTCCCCTTTTGCACAGACAAGCGTTTGTAGTAATGCTTTTCACTACGATATTTTACACCAATTCATTCTGTTCAGTGATTTAAAATATATCTGAGTACCTGCTCTTTTATTATTACAAAACAAAATAAAAAATAAAAAAAGAAACAAACTAAACCCCACCCCTGACTAGCACATCACTGAAATAACAATACTGGTGTATTAAGTCTGTTTGATCTCAAAAAGTACAAGAAAAATTATCTTTATTATAAGACTGCACTTAAGATCATTAATTACTGATTCAAATTCAATACCTAATAATTTAGGCAAGTATCATTAAAAAAACACAAACTCTTAAGTTGGGTGAAATCCAACAAGAATATATATGCTGAGTGACTAAATGCACTTTGTGCTGCTCCCAACTGTTGTACCACAACAAAGATAGGCTCTTCTCCCATTCATGAAAAGTTCTCATGCAGAGGAACAGGAATTTCCCAGTGGAGGTGAAGTGTTCTCAAAACCATAATGCTTTTCTGTGCGTCGACCCTTTCACATCACCAGAGTCCGCGTGGGGAAGGTGCCCATGTATTTACGTGCCTGATCTGGCAGAGCCATCTGATCCTCGATCTTCCCGCAGGACGCCGACTCCCAGGTGTTGTTCAGATGCTAAATCAGAAGACAGAGAGATTTAGTTTGAATGCTTTGTGGTTTATCCATAGTCCCAGCCAAAGCTGGGCTCACTCACAATTAACTGTTCCATGAACAGGCAGTGGGATGTTGTCCTGCCCCCTGAGAAATTGAAATCTCAACACAACAGGCAAAAAAATGTTACCCTGACTTCTCAGTTAGCGACCACAGGGGCAGACAGACCAGATGATCTGCAGAGGATCACCACAGGAGACCCAAACTTTCCTGCTTCTCTCTCAGAGGGTCTTTTCTAGTAGGCCATAGCCACAGCCTTGCCTTTAATCCTTTAGGAAGGTCTAAAGAAGAATGTACTTGGCAGGCCAACTTTGAGGTCAACAGAGCACAGACAGGCTACAGCACAGTTAAAATATTCAATGTTATGGCCATGCACAAAGAACCTACATTCTAAAAATGCTCTGTCCTGGAGCTCCCTAAAGGAGCCTGACAACCTCGACAGCCTGCCCAGCGCTGCCGAGGATTCCCCGCTCAAAGCTGCTTTCACCTGTGGGCAGCCATCAGCACCCGCCCCATAGCTCAGCTCCCCTGGCAAAGGAGGAGGGAGGCAGGCCCAACTCTCAGCAGAAACAGCTTTTTAATTATCATGTAAGCCATTTCACTTCTTGTGGTATTTATGGAGGTTGCAGACACCATTTAGTATAATGCTAAAATGAGATAAACCTATCTGCAGAGGGCTGTGTGTGCTGTATTTATTTACTCACTACACATGTGAGACATTTCTCATTGCCTTGAGCTATAAACAGCAATGAAATTTCAAAGCTCCTGGAATTTACCAGGATACACACTTTTATTTTTTTCTATTGAACTCTCTCACTTAGCCAGTGTGTCTGCCTTTCCACACTGAAACTTTCTCCAAGACCTGAATAAAACCTCTATTATCACACAGTTAGCTGTACAAATAGTCTGCATTCCAAAAATGCACACAATTGTACTTATCTTTCCACAAGGGATCCCAACACTGCTAAATACTGAGAGGGTGTATGCTTAAGATCCACCAGTAAAGACAAGTCAGGAGAAACCTTTCTCAGTTCTCCATGCCATTTGAAAAGGATTTGCAGCACAATAACTACATTGCTCAAAGAGATGTCCAAAGCCTTCCCAACCACTTGGACAGTGGATGAATCATAATTAGTGGACTGCAAACCATCTGCTAAGAGCAGAACTGTCCTGACATGCCCACAGCTCTTTCTGCCAACTTCTAGCTGCTAACTTCAACTTCTAGCTGCTAACTTTTTGCAAGAGGATCCTTACATTATTCTCTGGCCTAAAAGTTTACAGGATGCTCTTGTGACTGTAAACAGTGTTATCTGAGACATATGGATAGTAAAAGGCTGGGCAACTATGAAATACAGATAATTTCATGCAACATGCCCTAATCAGGGCACCAGTACAAACACAGGGACCGAGGTTCCTGCCTTGGAGGGCTTACTGTCTGAAAGGGACAAACCCAGTGAATAACTAAGTGAGCGTGTTAGTCCTCCGCAAACTTTTCCTGGGATTCCCTAGACATGGCTTTCTCTTCTCTGTAGGGAAGCTCCAAATGCTGCCTCTTCTCCTGGATGCCATTTTGCAAGCAAAACTGCTGAACTTCAATAGAAGTTCCCTTTCTGATGGAGAACCAGGTCAGGCCTCAAATCATTAAATTTCTGCAGTTTTTTTGGGAAAGCTGCATCTGTGAAGTGAACAGACATGCCATACACCTCTTTTCTAGAGCTGTGTGCCTTGTGCTGTGGCTCAGGCAAGGGCACATGCCAGAAAGCAGGTGTGACACACTTTCTGCGTGCCACAGACCCGCATGCAACACACCACAGATCCTTTTATGTTTTGGTTAAACAACTTCCAGCGTCACTTTTTCAAAGGCACCCACACAAGCTGGGAACCTGCAACTCCCTATTGATCCTCAGTAGGACTCAGGCACCTGTGCATATTTTCCCCTGCTGTTTTAGAGGTATTTGCATGAGGAACCGAATCAATGCCTGGTATAAAGCTGTTGGTTTTACTTAGAAGTTGGATTTGTCAAAAGCAGCTGATAGTTCCCATATATCCATAATTTCCAAGGACAGAAATATGTGTCTAACCAGTATTTCCCTGTGACTCCTCAAAGTTTCAATGCACCAGTCTAGAAATAAGAGATCAGCAGTCCCTTAAATAATTGCAAATATGTAAGAAGTCCATTTGTCATAGTATGTCAATTTCTGGAAACTATAAGTAACTTCAGGTAAGGAGTGTCCCTATTTCATAAATTAGGCTTAATTGTTAGTATCTACACTGAGCTCTTTGTATTAACAGCCATGTGCTTAGTAGGAAAAAAAAAATCTGTATCCTGATATCACCAACATCTCAGCAGGCTGCTACATGTCACTCATTCCATGGAAAGCCTGGTTTTCATCTTTAACCCGATGTCAGTGTGGCAGAAGCTGCTCAGGCAGGCAGTAACCCTCTGCCCTCCCACTGGGCTTGGCTGCCCCGGGGAGCACTGGGCAGCTGACACAGGAGGACCAGCTCCACCCCTCACTTGAGCCTGCTTGAAACAACTTCAGCTTTGCTGTAGGGACAGAAAAGTTTTCATCCATGTATTATTTTTTCCAGTAAATGACACTATATACACTTTCCCCCCCCTCCCTATTGTGACAAACTTATAACTTTGCATCTCATTGATGATGGTGAGAGCTCTGCTCCAGTGAAGAAAGAAACATTGGACCCAAAGGAGTATGTTTTCTGATGCAGCATATTTACTAACACAGCTTTCCATTCTACCCTTGGGGAACTCAGATAACATTTCAGTGGGTATTTTTAATAAACATTTTCTCTCTGAAGCCCTGGCTCTCGGCAGCCAACACAAAACAAAGCACAATGCCTGTGCCTTGCCAGCCCTGCAGTGCAGTGCCAGAGGCACGTGTGAAAGTCATCCTGATGGGAGCAGCTTTCCTGCCCTCCTTGGCAGGGAGGGCAGGGTCCTACAGCCCAGGCAGAGGGCCTTGCTGGGCCTGGTCACACACAGCTATGGGATCTCTCTGTAAAAAGGGTAAAAAGGGATCCCACAATGCCTCCTACCACACCAGCATTGCAGCAAGTACTTTACAGGCTCTGTTACAGGACAGTGTCCCACAGACAGCAGTGCCCAACACATGTATCAGAAGGAAAGAGACCCAAGGCAGAAGGCTACAGGCTTGCAGGAGAACAGCACAGAGACCCTAGCCAGAACACTCCAGTTGCAGAATGCTCATTGCAGTCTCCTGACCACATTTACAGGTCGAACTCTGCAAATCAATGGATGGAAACAAGATCTTTGTAACCAGAAGCCAGAAGCCCTGACCCATACCTCACCAAAATTGATGGACATGTTTTCATTAATCCAGTGGATTCATCCAGCGTAATTTCAATCTAAGAGTGAGGTGTTCATTTTGGCATCTAAATTCCTAGCCAGTGGGGAGTGAAAGTGATTTCCAGAGTAAATTCTTTCCACATACACAATTTTTTCATTGCCTCACAGGGTAGGAAACCAGTCTTAATTTTGCTGTCAATTAAAAGAGTTTAAACCTTTTCAGCCAGTACTTCCACTGTATTTTTCTCTTCCAAACACAGCAGTTTCTCTCTTTAAGTTAAATCACAGCGTGGAGAGGGAGAAGAAAGTATAGTACTGTGAGTTCCCATAGGATTAAATTACAGATCCATGGTACAATTCCAGCTATGTCATTCTCCCTGTCCCTTTTCTTTTTCTCTCTCTCTCTTTTTTTTTTTTTACTCTCAATAATTCTACCAGTACATCCTTCTCCTGGCAGCAAAACTGCCTTATTTATCCTGTAATATGCCTTCAGCTGCCCTCAGGCAAATGTGAACTGTAAACAAACTGTCAAAGCTGTAACTGGGATATCCAGTTAAAGCACTTTAAATAAAAACTTGGACCATCTAGAGAAAACAGACCAGAGTAAGGGAAGAAAACAATATGGAAAGGTGCTTTTCTAACAGAACTAGTCCTTCTGCTCTTGTAGCCCAGACTGCCTTTTCATGTTCTGTCTCTATAGCTGAAGAAAGCTCCTGTGTTACAACACCTTTTGTGTTAGAAGCCAATGCCAAAACCAAACACTGCTGCAGTCCTGCAGTGCTGAGCTGCCAAACTGATGAAAGTCTAGCAGAAATCCTTGGGCAAAGAACTGTGTTAGAAGACAGATTTTACATCTCTGCTCTGCTGGCAGGTAGTTTCAGCAACTCCAGCAAACCTAGTGGTGTTACAAACACCACCACTAATTTAGCCAAGCTTTGCTGGTATTTACAATTTTTTTTTAAAAGCTAGTGTATTTAAAATATTTTAAATGCTCAGACTACTAGAAGGTCTCTTATTGTGCTTCCCTGCCAGCTTTTCCTCAGATTACATGGCATAGATTGCCTGCAGAATGTGCCACTGAAAAGAAGGCTTGCAACAGAAATGCAGCACTCCTGAAAGAGTAAAACAATGCACTGAACAAAACAATCTCCAAGCAGAATACAATAGACAGCATATAAATAACATGGCTTTCTATTCTGCAAGGATGCAGGACTGGCAGGACAGTAAAGACTAATTAAAAACTAAAAGTGACCATAAATTACTTTTTTATCTCATTTGACAAGACAGACCACTATTTCTACCCCTGCTGCTGGCTTTCCTCTGACTTCTCCTGAACTCTGGGGCTTTCTGAGCTGCTCAGAAATACAGCTTGCAAAATGTGAAAGAATAAGATGGTCCAACTTTTCAGCTTTTTTCATAAGAATTATACCAGAGCTAGAAAGAGCTATTTGCTGGCATTTTTAAGAGCTTAACCCTGAAGTTCTTGCTCAGGTAAAACTCCTGTTCAAGATGAATGAGTTTCCCAAGTAAGATGAATGGACAAGGTATGGAAGTGGGCTAAGCATCTGCAACTCATACTAGGATATTCTTCCCCTCTCCAGTAATCATCCTTTTTTTTCCCCACAAAGATCAGAATACATTGCTGCAAATGTGACTAATAGTTAAGCTGTCACTTTTCTTCCTGAGAGACCATCACCAGCTCAGGGCAGCTGTAACTTCCAATCTGTTTGCAAGCCAAATTCTGCTGACCTGGGAGGAAAACATGCAGTGACTGGCCTGTAACTTTGAACCTTCTCTGGCTCCCTCAGCTGTGGCAAGCACGTGTCCTTCCTGTGCACATCACTCACTGGGGAGAGAAGGGGCAGCACAAGTGAGAGAAACCTGTGGGGCTACCTTCCCCTGCTGTGCAGATCTCAAACACAGCATGCTTCCCCCTCTCCCTTGATTAAACAAAGAAAAATATGAGATTTCAGGACCTTCCTTCAAAAATCCATGGAGGAAAAACAGAGAAAGCCTGCTGCTGCAGAAGACCATGCTGCCTTCCTGGCCATTGTGTCTTACAACCAGCTGCAAATAAAACAACATTTCACTTTTTTAAACTGAGAAAATTAGGCTTCATGACACCTCCAGCACTTGAAAAAAGTAACCAAGTAACTGTTTTAAAGTCCTTTAAACTTACTCTTTGAAGAAAATGGCTACATAAACCACTGAAAGTCAGGAAATTCGAGCAGAAATGTGTCAGTCTGTGGTTAAAAAAATGGAAAGTGACAGGAGCTAGATGTTGAAGAACATTCTCTTTAGCTTGCAGGGCTTCTACCTTGTGTTGTTTCCTTTGTTACTGGGGGAAGAAGATATCAAAGCAGTGCTATTTTCTTAAAAGGCTCCATTTCATGGTGTCTTTTGATAGCCTGCAGGGTTAGGTGGAAGGTCTGTGATTTAGCCTACTTTTCTATCTGTTAAAATGTCTATGTTAGGATAGTTTCAATTATGTACTGCTACTGCTACAGAACATAATGTGAAATAAAAATTAACTTTTACATAGGGAGGTTCAGAAACAGGAGGTTTTATGTAACCTCTTACAAGGCAAAATTCAAGCACATGCTCAGTACAGATCATCTTTTTGTCTTGGTATTGGAGTACATTATCCCAAAATCTTAACCTTTGGAAAATTGCTAGTGAGACCAAGATCTCCCTGACATGCAGCTAAGTGACAAAAACATAGGGTGCAAAAATAGAGGTTTTAACTAACCCCATGAATACAAAGCAGAAATATTTAGGATCCATGCAATGGAGAGTAAGTCCACCCCAAGGCAACATGTGGGTTTGGTGAGACATTCCTGCCATTCCTGCATTCCTGATAATGCACACAAATGAGATTTGTCACATAGGACAGAAGAGCTGGGTGAACCTCCACACCTTACCAGAAAGATCTGACACAAAACTGCCTTTACATCCAATGGCTTGGGGAGACCTAAGAGGGGACTGAATGAGGATAAAGCCCAAACTCTTCTTGGCTCTGTGGAGGCTTCTTCTCCCTTTGCTCTATACAACACTGACAGCACCAAACTCCAGAGGTGTTACATGGAGCTACCTGACCTCACATGCCAAATGATGCAACATGCTGTTCCTGCTAAGTGATGGTGAATCACGTCGTGCTATCTGATATGATCATCAGCTGCTATTTACTAAATGGCATATGATCAGTCGTGTACCCAAAATGCAGTAAAAAATATCATTAGAGATGTGTTTGGACATTTGCTACTCTTGCCTTCTTTGGAATTTAACAGCAGAACAATAAGTAATCAAGGATTTTGATCAGTTTATCCCTAGCCTAATATCTTTGTGTAAATGTAGTGCAAATTATGAAAGCAATGGAAAACTGTGGGCTGGTAAATATACTGCCTCCCTGTTTTCCAAGTTCAAATTTAAAAGAAAATAGAATTTTAGGAACCAAGCATATGAAAAAAAACCCCTAAGTTTAGTGCTGTCTTTGTTTCTCTCTTTCCTCTCCATGCACAGATCCCAGGGCACAGAGATTGTTGTAATTCTTTCTTGGACTGAAGTCAATGAGAATTTGCCTAAGAACAATTGGACCAGGCCCAAAATATTAACTGCAGCAATGTCAACATATGCAGACACAATTAAATTTCACCCACATGAGTTCCCTCATGCTTAATGTCTACTTTCATGGGATCAGGGGATTTAGTCCAGTTATTTTTTTGTGTCCATGCATGTGTTCACGTAGGACGGTGAGACACCAAACTCTAAATCAGGAAGAGTAGAAAGCATAAGACAACAACATGCTAAAATCTGGTCATGTACAAAGAGCAAACAGCAAAAACAACAACAAGCACAAAGGCTAATATTTTCCGTGGCTTTGCACCCTTTAGACATGCTATGCCCAAGTCACACGAGTCCATTTACACTGGGGGGGAGGAGGGGAAGCACCAGGGATAGAGCAGCAGCAGTTTCTGGTATGAAACAGAGCCAGAGCACACATCCTTTCTGAGCTGCACAGGGCCACACTGCTCCCCTCCGACATGAGGCCAGGCAGCTTCACCATTCCTTTTAACCACGACACCCAGCCCAAACCAGAGAGTGCAGCTATTGGCAGACAATAGTGCATTGTTATAACAAGTCAGTATTTCATTCTGAAAAAGCTGTCTGTGCCACCATCACAGAAACCCCAAGCCTCATTCTTCATTTAAGATTACATTTCAGCTGAAAAGCTCAATGTTCCACCAGCAGAGAGAACAATTTTACCTTCATACTAGTACACCAAGAAGCTGCCTACTAACTATTCATTTTGGGGCTTTTTACAACTACTTTTTCTTTCAGTTCAACACACTTTAAACACTGAGAGGAGTTGGGAAGTCCTTTTTAACTCAGTTCCTACTTAAGGAAAGGTCCTCTTTATGCAAACAAAGAGCATACCTGACTTTTAACATGGTTTTCCTGAGCAAGGACTGAAGAATTGAATCCAGAATGATCCACAAATTGACTCATGTAAACTTCCTGAACAAAATCAGCATGAGTGAGGACAGAAGGTTAAACAAGCCCTTTCGTTTATAGCAGCTTGTAAAGAAAATATTTTTAGATAGCAGGAAACATAACACCGGTACACCAAAGATCAAAAGATCCTATTTTACAGACCTCTCAGATCCTTCTTTTTTATTACAGCCAGAGTGCAGGCAACTACCACTAACAGGACAACACACAGGCCGTGCTGCTTAGCTGCTTGAAAATCTTGTCTTAAATCTATGAAGGAGCCCAGAGTTTGGCTGTTGGGACACAGCAGGGCTGAGCTCTTGGGGACCAGCAGCCTCCTCCTATACACCCACCAGGGAGCTCCAGCAACCCCAGCCAAGCTGGAGACCCAGGCTCCTTTGCCATGAGGTAGGTTTAATTCAGCCCCTATATACTGCCCTAGGTCAGGGCCAGTGGATCTGGAAACCCTTCTCCTGGCTCTCCACCACAGTGCAGCCAAGAAACAGTTCACGAGGGAAGAGCAGATAAACAATACCGAGTGTGAGTCTTTGGCCCCTACAGACACCCCCATGCCAAGGGGAGTCCTAGTCCCTGCTCTCCAATGCTGCTTTTCATCAAATGATTCTGCAGCACAAAATACAAGCCTACAGCATGGCAAATTGTGCCAAACAGGAACGTGTGTAAAACTTTACTATCTCCTTTTTTAATGCCTGGCTAGAAATGCCTAATCAAAACCAGACTTTATTCATTCCTTCCTACTGTAAATAAGCCCTAATGTAAGTTCTGGAAAGAGGGAGCAAAGAAGGATTAGCCATGTGGACTATCTGCCTGAAAGTCAGGAACTACAGAGTTACAATTTCCTTCCTGACAGTGACTCACTCTGGGGAATGAGACACTTTCCTTTATTTCTCCCATGTGGAGTAGGCCTACAAAATCACTTAGTCATCTACCTTGGAAATACAGAAATTATGTTTTGTTTTCTGAATGACTTGCTGTGGGTTTCACCTAAAGAACACAAGAGCTCCCAAGCTGGCTGCTAATGACTTTGGTGGGCTTTGGATCAGCCCCTGTGCAACAGCTCTGCTTTAAAGTACAGCAAATGTCTGTGTTTGTTAACACTTGGCAAAAGCACAGACACATAAACCCTTGCCTAACATCTGACTTACATTACAACAATTACACGTTTAGGGGGAAAGGCCATCCTGGTGCTGGGCTGAATGGGCAACACTGGCCACACCAGTGCCAGCCAGGCAGTGCTAGAGTCTCTCCTCTCACGCCAAGGCCAGTCACAAATTCTGGCCACCACTACACCACTCAAGTCTCCAAAACAGCAGTGCCACCTGCAAAAAGCCTATGGAAAAAAAACCACCCTGGTCCACGTTAATTCTCAGTCCTACCAATTCCACACTGCACCCAGCTGAGTTACAGCACCCCACACACAGGGCTGTGCCCTCATGCTCCACAGGCAAAGTGAGATCCTCAGCCACATTCATCTGAACATTTCATTCTTCCATACTCAAACCATAAAATTGGTCTGTGAGAAAGCAATATGTATATAAATATATATGGATGCATATATGTATTTTTATATACAGAGGACAATTTTATCAAAGAATAATTACCTGTAAAGGACTAGCTAGTGGCCTGTTTCTAGGTACTGCAACTGTTTTCTGAAAACTATCATCATCTTCAGACACAGGCATCTTTAAAATGGAACTGGTAAGAAGATTCTGAACAGAAAAAGAAAAAAGAAAAAGGTTTTCAGCAACTCATGAGAACAACCTGAATTGGAATGCATTGTGAGTAAACTCAGGCTGAGTGCAGAAGTTGCTACACTGGGCACAGCCACAGATGAGGAGCAGACATCAGCCTGGTGTCCCTGGGACTTGGCTTTGCAGGAGCATTGCCCTGTGCAAAGGTCTTCCATCCAGTGAAAATCCCAATTTCAAGAGTAACAGTAACACTGAACAGTCCATAAGCCCCGGCAATGCAAAGGGAACTGTGCTCATGCAAAGTCTCCTTTGCAAAAACCAAGAGAGTCTCTCTCTCTTTCACCAGTTTTTAACTCCTTGATCTAGTAATTTCTGCACACAGGTGCAGGCATCCTACAAGGACATGCTCTTCAAAGTCTGTGGGCTGTAAAATGACTGCAACTTCTGAAACCTTCTACAGGTATCAGAGTGATAATTAAGAGTAGCATTTTGCCTTTTATGCTTAGTACAGGAAAATGACACAGAAATAAGGAATAAAGCCTACTTGTGAAGAAAATCAGAAAAAATATTCTCTTTCTCTTACATTTAAGAATCGAACAGGGATGGAAAACAAAGAATTTCTTTGATGGTGGGAAAAGTTATACTTACTGGCACATCTTCCATAGTAGACCCAGGTGTAAAGAGCTGAGTGTTCAGGTTTTCTCCTTCCCAATGATTTGAACAAAAAAAATTTCCAGCTTTATCTGTTGGGGACTCTGCCTGAAAACAGAAAAGGCATGATTCAACCACCACATAACTGACCAGGAGATTTCTGTCAGTTGCTTAATAAATTGAACAAATATTCTTCACTGAGGTGCATAATGCATGTTTACAGTAACATCTTTTACAGCAGCCTTGCCCTTTGCAGAAGAAAAAAGTTCAAGGTTCTCCAAAAAAATCCCCATCTAACAAAACTTTGAATACTTGCACTCAGTGCTCTGTTAGTATTCAGGAGTTTAATCCCCTAGAAAGGATTGAGAATAAATGTATTTTTAGAACTTTAGTGACAAAGTAATATAATGCAATGTCCTCAAATGTTCAGGTTTCTAAGTCACTCCATGGAGCTTGGTCCCCATGGGGTTCTTCTATACTTTTCACCAATATTTGAAAGATTCAATCCAAATTCATGTCTAATTTTTCTTTTCTTTTTAAGTTTCAAACGAAAACTGCATTAGAACGGTCCAAGCAAACCCCTGCTGAAAACAGCAGAAAGACTTCTATGGAAATCAATGGGAGATGAATTAGACATGCCTAGTGTACTATATGGAACCGACACTAAGATCTTGGGGCTCACATGAAAGGAAAACAGACACAGCTATTTAACAGAAAAGGCATTGCTATAAGTTTCTCAGCAAAGAGTTCTGAATTAAATTGCCTCAGGTAAGTTTGAGATTTACCTCTTGTTTGATTTTCTTCAGCAAAGGGGGTCCACTTTCATGTAGCCCAGCCACTATTGCAGATTCCTCTGACTCCTGCTTGATAACATCCTGCAGATCTTCTACAAGATGAGTTGGAGTTTGAGGCTGAAAGAAAGAAACGTTATATCCAAGTCCAGAACATCCCTCTGCACTAATATCAAAGCAACTTTCATCATTGTTTCCTTCTTACCAGCATCTTCAAAGGACCGTATTTGATTTCCTGAGCTGCAAGTGCGTTTTTGAATGGAGTGGGTGTTCTTGGAGAGCTTTCTAATATCGACCTCTTGATTGCTGGAGTCCTGAAACTTTAAAAAGAAGGAGAGGAACTTTAAAGGAAGATGCTTGGAAATACTAGCTCTTTATAGAAATGTGTGCATACAGATGGTATTGTTGTAAGACTTTGGAAAATATTTCCCTGTCATCCCATAATCCATTTTGCTTTTACAGCAGAACATCTATTTGACTGTGATAAGATGTAATGACTTTATTTTAAAAACTGGTGAACCTATATGCATGGTTTTATAACCTACCTCAATAGTCATAAATTGGAAGTTTTACTCCCAACTAAGCAAAATCTGAATGAGTGAGCAAACAACTCTGCAGGAAGCAGAGAAACACAGAATGGTTTAGGCTGGAACAGTCCTTAAAGATCATCTAGTTCCAAACACACTATCACAGGCAGGTGATACACCTTCCATGAGATCAAGTTGCCCAGGGCTTCATCCATGGATAGGCCATTCACTACTTCTCTGGCCAGCCTGATCCATTGCCTCACCACCCTCTCAGTGAATATTTCTTTCCCTGTATCTAACCTAAACCCACCCTTACAGCCTAAAGCATATGCTGACCCCCAGCACTTTGGTTGCATGCAAATGTGAAGAGGTGGACCCTCGTGAGTTGGACAAGACAAGAGACTTACACATGGTTTTCCTTCTGAGCCTTTAAAGCCTGGTCCCTATGGAACGGGGTGGTAAGTGCCATCTTATGGCCACACACCGGTGTGGAGGTAAGTGCAGGGTTGTCCAGGTTCAAGTTTTCATGAGTGGATGAGGTGTTTAAGAACTGCAGGTGTGGGAAGAAAAAATTAACAGGAACATCAAGATTACATGGCTGCCTCTTAAGCTGACGTTATTCAACAAAATAAAAAGAAATTATTTTCTTCTGACTGACACGAGTCACTCTCCTGGCCCTATGATGCAAGCAGGGGTATGTGGGGTACCTGACTACATTGTGAGAAAATACTCAATGGTTTGGCTCAGGCAGCTAGAGAGGGAAATTCTAAAGGAAATGACACTCTGTTCCAATGAGAAAAACTTTCCACCACTTTCAGAGCCTGATTTGGATTTGCTCCAAATAAATTTTAATTAAGACCAGTGTGCCTAAGAAACTAGGTGAAAATGAGCAAGAGATGTTTCAGAAACAAACCCACAGGAAACAGGGTTAAATTCCACAAATATTTATGTGGGGAATGTAGGGGCTTTTAGGGCAGTGCAAGTGTTGATGACAGGAAAATAAATTTCCTATCATCTCTCTCAAAAGAAAGTACTTCACTTTCAGAGTATGAAATGAAAGCTGCCACCTGTGACGGGTACGTGGAATACTTTGGAATGGAAACAGCTGGCTGAAAAAGAGGCAGCACTATTTGTTTGGAGAAAATTGCTCTTGCATGTGTTCTACCTAGTAACCTAAAATACAGTTTCTATTTCTAGTCTACAAATCTGTGAGCATAGTGGTATCCTTTAGTCTGACAACAATTCAATGTATTCCCTTCTAGATTCTGTCACTTTATAAAAATGCGGCACGTAAGAAAATCTGGCTTTCACTGGAAAAATGACATATGATTAAAATAGCTAAGAGGTAATGGGAAATACATTGGGAAATCATTACATGAAATCTTTTACTATCCTTCATGAAATAGTCTTTCTCCGACATCAAAGACTAAAGCAAACCAACACAGACAAACAAAAAATCCAAAACACTTTTAAATAGTGCCACAGCTGTGAAACAAAGCAACCATCATTAGGAATTTGAAAGTGCACACCAGGCCATTTTAACAAGCCATTTTCCTCCTCATTCCTATTCCACTCCAACTCCCATGGCCTGGGCAGAGGATGGCAAGTGTGATTTGAATTTTCTGGTTGTTGTCAGTTTGTCTCACAACCTGAATGCTATTTAAATGCAGTTTGGGGTTTTCTAGGTCAATGAATCATACTGTAAGTGGACAGAGATGGAAAGTATCACAGATGATCAGAAATGTTAAACTCTAGTAGCTGGAGTTAGCAGCAAGAGTAAAGCAAGAGGTCACACTCCCCTACAAAAAAGATCCAAAAAGGAAAAAAAAAACAAAACACAAAAAACCATGCCCCAGAGATGAATTTAAGAGTCAAGAATCAACAGTTAGCTTGCTGATTAACTAAACTCAGCAGTGAAGACTAGGAGCAGCGAGAAGATTCAAACACGGAGCGAAATCAACAAGCACAACGGTAATTAGTCATTTGTTCCAAAGGATTAGTTTCTAAATTGTTAAGACTGGGGTGACTTTTGAGAATTAGTAACATCTGTGCAGAAGTCTTGATCTACCTGCGAGGGAGAGAAGGGCAGGCTTTTGACAGGGGAGCACTTAGGAGGAGTTGAGCTGCTGACGTCAGCTAGGACCAAGGTGCTACCGTGGCCACTGGCTACGGGGCCGCAGTGCCCTCTCCTTTTGCGAGGAAGGACCCGCGGAGCCGCACTGCCCTGTGAGGCAGATAAGGTCTTTGGTGAGCCAAGAGAGCCCTGACTTGACATGACTTTGCTCAAATTTGTGGTGGGCTGTCCTTGCGGTCTACAAGCACTGGCCCCTCTTTGCTGAAGCTGCGCGACTTTGCCTGAGGGAGCTCTGCTAGCCGGAGTGTCTGTGTCTTCAAAGAATTCAAAACTGCTGAGATCACCCCATGATGAAGGATCCTGAAACAACGTGGGAGGCACGGAGCTATAAGACAGCGTATAGTGCCACCTCATGAAAATACAGCGCTAGGATATGTTTGTAACCAACAACAACAACATTAAGTTTTTCCCAGTTCAGTTCAGCCTGATCCTGTTCATGGGAGCAGCAACGCTGTGAACACAATTTGTGTTTTCACATACCTTGATCTTATCAAACTGTCTGACATCCTAATAGTGTTGCTGGCAACCGAATCCCTAATGAATGAGTCAAATTATGTCCTTACTATTTGCTTGCCCAGTGTTTTCTGCTTGGTATGATGATGGTGCTTTTTGTTACAAAAAAAAAATGTGTGCTGTAGACCAAGACTGGCCTCCTCCTAACATGCAATGCTGCCCTGGATGTGCTGAAAGGGAAATGATACCGAACGAAGCAGACACGTCTGCTTCTGAAGGAGGTTGCCACCAACAAACGTAACTCAGTGTGCTACTTTACATGCAGCATCCCAGAGACTGCAATGACAACAGGATCATGTCAATGTCAGATACTTGACATTTAAATGTGTGTTTACAGTCCTTCACATATGCCAGGACAAGTCCCTTAAACTTTGAAAAGCAGCTATTGAGGCTACAACTAAAAATTGTAGAAAATTATGCAGATACATGAGCGGCCACACCCAAACCTATGGCATGTGTCACTTCGAGTATCAGTAAATATCATCACATTGTTTAAAATTTTTCATGGTATCTCTGATTGTATTTTAAGGAGACTTAAAAATGAGAGATTGTTTCAAGCTCCTACTGTGCACCTTGCTGAAACTCACACTCCCATTCCAAGATGTAGCCCGAAAGGGAGACACCCAAAAAAAGCATATGCATCCGTGCTTGAGGGCTTCATTTACAAGCAGCTGCATTTTGTCATGTCAGAAGATAAGCTTCAGATCCTGAATCAACTCGAAGTTACTCGGGAAAAAAGCAACAACCGCATTTAGGACAATCCCAGCTCCTCACCCCTTACTCCTTGACCATGCACCAATCCACCTAAGGCATCAAGTCTACTTACGGAGTCTATTAACTGGAGTGTTTCAGCAAATTCTAAGAGATTCTTAACATTATCCAGGATGTTGCTCTGGTGAACAATCATGCACCGTGCAGGGGATGCACTTTCCTCAGGTAAGCAACCGTGATCCACCGGTGGAGATGGAGTACAGTGGTGATGCTCCCCCAAACAGGAAACAGGTGCACTGTCACCACTGGTCCTGGTACTGTCCGCAATTGTGGTGCTGTGCCAGCCGGGGTAGTTTGATGTGTGGTTCTGTGTCTAAAGGAAGAAGAAGGCAAAAAAAAGAAGAAAAGGGAGGGGGGAAAGGCAGAAGGAACTTAGCAATGAAATTGCACAAGGTGTCAGATGCCACTGGAGGAAAGATAAAAGTAGTTGCATCATCATCTAAAAGCTTATGCCTATGAAACAATTGTCAAGATGTTTCCTTTCATCAGTGCAAGATCTTGTTTTAAGTAATACTGGCATTGTATTTGTTATCCCAAAGTTACCTCATAATTTACTTCCACTATTTTAGGCATATGTCATTACTAGCACATAATCAATTCATACTTTGTTACTCCAAGTGCTCAAAAAGTGTCTGCAAGTCCTTTTCTGTAAGAAGCAAGAAACGGCAGGATTTCCCTACTGAGCGCTCAGCACTGTAGAAGGCTAAAAGTTTTCAGAGTTAGAGTTGCTTTTGTCTGCTTATCTCCTTTTCTTCTGCTATCCCTGTCTAATGCTACAGCTTACACCAATGCAATGAAGAGGCTGTCAAATCAACGTGGTTAGGAAAGCAGAAGAACAAATTAACAGAAGTTTCTTTCCAGTGTGATCATGCAACAGAAGAAATTGCAAAACATTAACTAAAGTTAAAAAGTGGCCAAACTAACGTATCATGCATGCAGTTCTTTTCTATTCATTTAAATATTACCCAAAAAAAAAAGAAAAAAAAAAAGAATCTGCTGGCTATCACCTATCTTCAAAAATGATTTTGGGATTCTTGGCTTTGGTGACGGTGTTAAGTAGTTACACAAGGGTTTTCACACATTAACAACCAATGGCATATACAACAAAGTATGAGAATTCAGTAATAGCCAGCACTTGCTCCACACATGCAGTTATGAAGAATCTAACATTATTCAGAGGAGTAAAACAAATTCTCAAACATGCACCAAGTCTGAAGCTTACAAAGTATACAAAACACAGGTGAAGGAAAGAATACAACAGAGAAGAAAAATCTAATGCACAGGCACTACATTTTCATCACATGAACCATTGCACACTTTCAGAAACACAGATCCCATTATTGATTAAACGCCTGTAGGATTTTTTATTTTGTACAATCATCATGTTTCCAATATTACATTATGTTACGGAGCCCAGTCCTGCTCCCACTTCGCAAAGTAAGATACCTTTAAAATTTTTGGATTTTTTTTTTAATAAAAGAATTTACAAAGCAGATACAGATTACATATGTGCTATGTTTCATCCTTTTAAAACGGAAATATAGAGCCTTGATTAGTACTGAAGGCAGAGGGGGAGTAAAAAGTTAAAAAGACAAGCACTGGGGTAAGGCTGCTATCCCTCCATCCAAGCACACAGTGACAATCTTACTGGTAATGCCTGCTGCCCTTTCAGTTCATTCTCAGTCGACATTAGTAGCAACTCTAATTCCTTTATTCGTTTTTCTTTCTCAGGGTCTTCATCATTATAGTGTCTCTGAAATTAAGAGTTAAGGGAAAAGAAAAGATAAAGGTCTGATAGGATGTAGCAACTAAAATGCTCATGGTTTGCCGACCTGTGGTTTTAACAGCCAAATTAGATTCCAAGATGAAACAAATGTCAATTGTGTTTTCCACCATCAAAGTCTCTGCTGAATTTCAGTATAGACATTTGCAATGGAGAAAGTGAAGGCCATCACACCAGATGTCAACTACTGCATTTAAAATCCACTTCAGAAGGAGCAATTATTAGCCATGTCAGAACTCCCCAACCTTCCCCATTTTCTCTTTTCACCACACTTAATACATTAAAATGTTTCCTTAATGTACGATGTCTGCATTTTAGTTTATCAAATATTTAAGAAATTGACTCTTGAAATAAGATTCAATTTATCTACCTGGATAGCTGCAGCAGCTGGCTGAGGTACATTGACAATATTTACATGCAGTGCTACTGGATACGGGATCTGACCAGGAACCTAGGTCAAAAAGCAAAAATTGGTTATTTCCATCATATTATCTGCAACATCAATTTGTGTTAAACATACTTTGATGTTAGATACTTAATATTTGTAGTCTGTGGAGATGAAATAACAACCAAAAAAATGTTTATAAGAAAAGTAATCACGTTTTTAGGAATATGACAGCAAGCATTAGAGAGGAAGAAAGAAAATTCATATATGAAATGTTTACCCTTCCTGAATGAGAAAAGATGAATAATTTATAGAAACATTTGTAAGGATTTTCTAAATTGAAGTGAAAAAGCAAAAGATGCAATTTATTATCATTTAAAACTCTACAATGCAACTATCTGAAGCAGGAGCCTGTTTCATTATTAATCATTAATAGAAAAGAAATCTGATTAAAAACAATACTTGTTCACTTGGTTCTGACAGGCAGCCCACAAACAGAATACTACTAAAGAGAATGTGGGAGATTTTGACGTGGAACACAGAATTAACCAGATTCAACTAATATTCAAGAAATTTAATATTCACAACTCTAAGAAATATGTTAACTGCTCACAAGGCGATAAACCTGCTTTACCCAGTTCCACCACCTCAATGCCACCAGTTTGAAATGTACTCATATTCACCACTGACATAAGTAAAAGCCAAAGAAATCCTCATCGGACATCAAACACATCCAAGCCCACCAAGACGAAGGAAATCCTTCAAGCTGAAACCAGGAACAGCTAAAGTGCCCCCATCTATTCAACGAGGCAAAGCAAGCAGGCCCTGCACGCTGCCCCTTGCAGGCACTCACGTTCTGTGGCTCAGGGATGTGGTAGTAGGGGTAGTCACTGCCCAGTGGGGGCTGGCTGGCCACCGGCAGCTGCGCGGGTGGCGATGGGTTGTGAGCAAAGGCCATCAGGTGGTTGTTCTTCTGAAAGCCAGCAGCTGCTGAGGAGTGGCAGGCTTTGGAGGACTCCTGCAGGTAGCCCTCCTGCTCAACCTTCCGGCGCATGGTGGAGTTCCAGTGGTTCTTGATAGCATTATCAGTTCTGCAACAGAAATACAGATGTTCGAGGAGTTTCAAATATGAGCAGCTCCAATTCAGACAGGTCAATGGGCAGGGAACTGCTGTTGGCACTTCTGTTTAAACCCTGAGCTCTTCTCTGATCTTCCTCCTACCCCCACCACTTCAGATGCTATTCCCAACTTCTCAGGAAAGATGCTCAGTATAAAGGTCAGGAAAAAAGAAAAATGGGCTATGGTTGTTTACATAGTTTTTAAAGCAATCTCTCATGACTTACATCCTCAAATTGAAAGAAATTACTAATTTCATCTTCACCTCATTCCCATAGAGTGAGAAGACAATGAAGGCTAGCATCCCTTTGAGGCTATTCTAAAGGAATGCCAACATCATCTTCCTATATCTTAATATTTCAGTGGAGTCTTATTGTGTCTCATTGCTGGAAAGAAAGACTGTGGAGAACAGCTGTGAACAGACTAACTTCCAAGCAATTTTCCAGCTGGTCACCTAGACAGCAACAACACACAGCTGTACACACAAACTCAGTAAACAAAACTGTTGGGATTTTTCTTAGATGCAGAAAAACTGAGATTCAAATCCTCACATAAGTGAGTCAGGAAAAGCAAACTTACCAACTTTGTGAGATTTTTAAGAGTACACTTTAAAACAGCTCTGCTATTTGAAAAACATCACTACTGCATGTTATCATTCGAAGTAGTATCTGTGATGTGTGGAAGCCACAAAAAATATTTCCAAGGGGTAATTTCTTTCTTGTTATCTTCTAGAAGGTGAAAGCAGCCCAGGGAATGATTGCTTTAAGGGCTATCATGATCTTAGGCCTTATATTTAGGACTTGAAGATGTTTTATCTCTTAGCAGGAAGAAAAGTAGGAAGGGAAACCTCTCCCTTGCTTACATTATTTGCTTGCTCACATTTTGAGTCACTTTTAATCAAGCAAGTAATCAAGCAAAAACACTGAATCTTTGAGTTTATATACAAGCTGTACAAAAGCTTTCAGTGAGACAACTATTTCCAGGACCAGAGTTTGAGGAAAAAGTTTTACACATGGTTTTTTAACAGGTCAATATCATCTGGATGATTCAAGAGCAATTACAAAAGTTGAAGAAGTCTTCTCTTAAATAATTTTGAATAAACAGACTGGATTTCATGTTGAAGGCATACCCTTAGCTGAATGTAAATTATGTTCCTTTTGCAGAGCCTGATCATTCCCTGTTAAATCTATTTAAATTTTGACAGTCATCACAGGCACAAATAAGATTGCACAAGCATTTAGGAAAATCTTATGGTCTTGCTCCAGTTACTGGCTTTTCTACTTGTGCCAAGCATTAAAAGCCTGTAAAAATAGCACATGCTGTGTGTACTGACCAAACAGTGAAGTTCCCCACTGAGAAAAATGCACATTGCTGTCACTGGCTTCCCAGGTTTTGATTCCAAAACTTTTTCGATTCATACAGTGCAGCCTGAGGCGACCAAAACAGACTGCTCAGACCTGCAGCTTTTTCCTTTTTTGAGAGCTAAAAGCATATGTCATTACCGTCCAGGCAGCAACTTTGCAATCTCTGCCCATCTGTTTCCCAGCCTCTTGTGTGCCTGGTAAATAATTCTATCTTCCTCTTCTGTCCAGGAGGTTTTCTTCACTTCTGGATTCAAATGGTTGTGCCACCTCTCCCTGCACTGTTTTCCAATCCTTCCTTTCAAATGCTTAGCAATGACAGACCAGCGCTTTGGACCGTATTTCTGCACGAGCTCTATTACCTTCAAAGAATGACATAAAAACTGCCTGTATTTAATGATGCATGAAGAATCAATGAAATTTTTTTCTGTGGTGAAGCAATATTTTCGACAACATTTCTCAAAACTGCCAAAGTAAAACTAATAGCAATTAAGGATCCCCACTTCCCATTCATATTTTTACCCCAAAGGAAAAATCTGGTAATAGTTAAGGCATTTCTAGACTGCAATTCCACATTACAGTGCTGTAAAGCAACAGTAATTTATTTGCATAGCAAACTCAGAAAGCACTACACAAATACAATCTGCCTGTGGCCATAATAATGTTGAGACCACCAAAGTTTCCAGGAGTTTTGCCCCAACACTTGAGAAATCTGCTCGTAAGGCATTAATCAGACAGAAAGAAAAACTGATTACCTACCCTTTGATCCTCCTCTTTGGTCCACGGACCTTTAATAAGTTCTGGGTTTAGTACCTTCTGCCATCGGTGCTGGCACTGAACATCTGTCCGATTCTAGTGAAATGTGAAATACACAGAGCAGATAATTCTTCAGAAAAGGTGAAAGTAGAGTAAGAATGCTCTTATTTACATACACTTGTTTTGATGGATTTCACTACCAAGAATACTAAACAACACAGAGTGATATAGTAAGTCTGAGAAGAAGGTGGTCAACTATCAATTTGCTCACAGAATAGATAAGGCTTCCATCACTTCTGCACTGAAGACTCCATCACCAAAATTACACAAATTTTATCTTCCCCATCCGCACAATAGCTGGCATGCTTTCACATGAAGTATTTCAGCAACAGCCAAACTCAAAGCAATTTTCTTCAAAATCATAGTTACAATTCACCAAAGTTGTTTGTTTTTTTTTTTGCTGTGCTGAGACATTTTGTTTCATTGTCACATTGACCATCTAGTGTGCAAATCCCCACCATCCCCCATTTTTGCCTGTTTGATTTTTTCCAACCCTTTCTGAGAAGTGAAAGGAAAAATAAATGTAAGGGTTTCCACAGCAATCTAACTGCATTTTTAAGGTCTCCATTTGTGGAAGTTTTATATCTCCCCTGAAAATGTAACTATAAAGCAACCACTCCCTTTCCCCTTTATCAAGGAAACCCCTTGATAGAGTTCCTACTAAGCCTGGAAACAGAAACCAATATCCACTTACAGGAAGGAAATTGGCAATGACTTTCCAGTCTTCCGTACCATTCTGCTCCACAAGCTTCTTCAACTTCTCATCCTGAATCATAAACCCCCCCCAGATATAATTAATATTGCAATCTCTGAAATATTTTTTAAAATTCATTCTTGTAGCTTCTTACGCATCTAGTTCTGCTTTCCGAGGTAAGGGAGGGTGGTCTGCAGACTTTGCATGCTTTTAATTTCTAAAGCATAAGATTTTCTACTCCTTTGGATTTTGGTAGGTTCTTTACTGTGTTGCAGGAGAAAGACTGTTCAGTTCTTTGACTCACAATGTACATTCCCATTTTACTCATCAAAGCACTGTAACTGTTATTCTTGGACTGGATTTACATGAGGAAATGGGTGTTTAGATGCCAAGCATCAGAGTAACCTTGAAATTCAGTAACACTCAGGCACTCAGCTACCTGGGAACCTCTGATAATCACAGCTTTAAGCTTTATATGTCTTGCAAGTAATGGGAGTTCCAGTGACTTGCTCATGGCCTATCCACCTACAGTAAATGCACAATAAAACTAACAGCTCCTTTTTGCTCCTGTTCTCTGCGAGGGAGTTTTGCATACTTGTAAATAGCAAAAAATTTGGCCCAATCTTTTTAATGATAAGGTCAGAAATATAAATCCTAAAGACAAAAGAATCCAACATTATGTACTGGGAAAGACAGAGATAAAGTAAAACAATCCAGAAATGTCTCAAGAGATAAGAGGAGAAGAGTAGCCCTCTCCTTCCCCAGTTAGCACCTCCCAATATGCTTCCAGTTCATGTGACAGGACAATGGCCATTGGACCTCATGGCCATCCTTTCCTCCCTGGCCACATCACAACCACGTCCACCTTTGTAAGGGCAGACTATGATTTAAAATACATAAATAAAAAGCTTGCAAGGGGTGACCTGCCACTGTTTTTACATCAATACACATTGTTAGAGAAGAGAAAGTCAAAACATAAGTCAAGAAGTGTATTAATGTAATCCACAACAAACTCAAACCAGTTAAATGGCCAAAGGAGATCCACCTGGCAAAGGAGTCTGACACCACAATTTTCCCAGAAAGTCAGAAGGGTATCACAACTAATTCTGACCTTGAAAAGCAAAATGCATCCTGAATGCTCAGTTTTGGTACTGCTGGATTTCTCTCCTCCAGCTTTTACTTTACTTCCACTTGGAATCATAACAGTGCAATCAAAGTGCAAAATTCCCGTAGTACAGAAGGACTGCAGCAGTTTTTGCCACAGTGGTTTGCTGCTGTGGGACACTGAACACACATGGGTTCTCGCATAGCAACAGTTTCCAAACAGAAAGAGGAAAGTAGCAACAATGAAGCACTGCTACAGTTGATTTGGAATCTGCTTCTCCAACGGGATTATACTGAGATTCACACATCACATACTTTAACGCAGAGCATGGCGGAAATTAAAAAGTTGTGTTTATATATTTCATTTAGAAGGTAAGAACTATGCTCAAATAAAACACGGAATGTAGCTAGTGGGTCAAAAAAGTTGTCCTCAGATATGGGACTGTCACTGAAGTAAATTTGCAGATTAGCAATATGGTGAAGAACACGAAGCAATTTGGAGAAGAATGTGATCCACGCTCTCTTATCTTTTTACATGCAGGAGAGGAATGAACTTGGATTTACCTCCTCACGGGTCCACCTGGTTTTTCCTAGGTGACGTTTTCCAGTCTTAGGAAGCAGACCATCATAGTCGTGATCATACACCTCAACATCTTCTTCATCATCATCACTACTATATATACTGCAAAAGGAAACACAGCAAGACAGAGTGGAGCATGAGGACTTGAGCTACTTAATTCAAAACACAAAAAAAACCCCCACTACAATCCTTACAAAGGTTACACAGATAAAAGTTTTAAAACTTGCACAACAAGATTTTGTTCTGCATTCTGTTGTTCTAGTATTCTGAACTGGTTCTGCTGTTTTTGGTATCCACAGATACAGGCAAAGGGCTGGCAACCTTCGTATTGCTGTGCATGTTTAGACCTGCTCCTAATGTTAGATCAGTGGTGAATTACACATTTGGCAAACTTTCAACCAATGAAGGTTTCAAATTAAAATACAATGTTTGGGACAATAAAGACAACTAGAGGCTGTGTCCAGTACACGAGTACATGTTTAAGATCCTTAACTCATGCCATACATTCTGAAAATATTAGTGGGTTTTGTATGTTTAATACAGCAGATTGTTATACTGCTCCAAAAGAAAACTAACTGTGTAGCAAAACTAAAAGCCAAACAATAATCTTGTTTGAGAAACTGTTTATGGACCCTATGTGAGAAGGCACAAGTTTTTACAATAAGTGAAGACAGTAAGTGGCAGCATTAACATGCAATAAGCTCTTATATAAAATATGCCCTCCATTTATGGGTTTGGACAGATAAGGACTGAGGACAAGTTTGTTTAATCCTGCAACCAACAAATGAATGACTGAACCCTTCTATAACTTTATTACCTCTAGTCTATTTCTAAATCCCTCATACTGTTTTTGAAATACTCTGCTCACCTAATTCATGACTAAGGGATTTCCCCAGAGGCTATCTATGGGTAAAAAGGACTCCATGACTCTTTTCACAAACAGCACTTTCTCTACCTAGCTAATTAAACCTAAAAGAGAGTGTTTTGTAACAAGACATGGCTTTCTGGTGGACTGTATTTTGCTTCTAACTTTTAAGGTATGAGCAGCAGTTGTGATACTTCAGCTAAGAGATGCTAGCCACAAGTGTTAGAAAGAAGTCAGTGTCATTAAAAACTGTGATATATCTGATGGTATGGCATGCTGTGGTATGTTAAAACTGTGACTAAGACATTAAAATAAAGTTATTTTGTAATAAAATTAACAGGCGCTGTTTATGCTGTTAACCTCTTTTCAGGGGATTACTTTCAATTAAGTTGCAGTGAAGCATGGTGACTGTTTGTCAAGATGCGAACACCTCCGAAAGGCAAGCTGCTGAACACACATTCCTTAAAAGTTCTGGGCTAATCACACCCTACATCTTCCAGCCTGTTTTCTGGCCTGTGTCATGAAAGAACATGCTTACATGCTACATGTAAAAAGTTTTCCACAGCCTGCTCTGATGTGTGTGGTCATCCCGCAGCCTCTGCCGGCTGCCCCTGGCTCACCCACCCAGCCCATCGCTGCCACCCTCAACTCGCGCCCACCTCGCCTGCAGCGCCACGATTCACTCCCTATTCCCCAGACCCCGTAACCACTGGGAGCAAGCCCCGATGGAGGCTCCCACTCCGCACGCACCCCTCGCTGGCAGCTGGAGCCTCCCGTGCCTGAGCAAAAGCTCCCACGCTCCAGCTGCCACAAGCGCGGCTCCGTCCCCAGCCGCCGCTCAAAGCAGATTCACTTTTCTCAGTGACACACAGAGACAGCTGCGCCGCTGCCCATATGCCAAAGGAAGTTTTGTGGCACAGTTTCCAAGTATCATTTTGAAAATGAGTTTTCCGTAGACGGCAACCAGCAGGTACGCATCCATCGGCTGCGCTTCCTGCGCCGCAGGGAAACGCCGCTCTGCAGCAGCAGCAGCACAGCCCAGCATCAGCGGCCAACACGTTTAAGGACTTCAGTGCGGGGCCAGTTCTGTAACAGGGTTATTTAAATGACTGGGGCCTCGCTGGCACCGCAGAACCGAGCAAACTCCACTGTACTACCTGCGTTCTCCAGCAGGAGAAAAGCGCCCGGGGATTCCGGGACGCTCGGTAGTTTCCTCAGTCAACCTGGCCTTCAGCAGGGCTCTAAAACTTTATTTTGCACCTCCGGCCGCAGCCCTGAAGCCTCCCCCTAGGCGGTTCGGCTTGGCTCGGAACGGCACGGCGCTCCGCCCGGCCGGGACAGCGGGAGTCCCCCTGCCGCCCATCAGCGCTGCGCTGCTCGCCGAGGCAACCGGCTTGTGCAACGATACACGGGGGGAAAGCGAAAAAAAAAAAAGGGAGAGGAAAAAAATAAATAATAATAAAATAAAGAAACAAAAAAAAAAGGAGGTGTAGAGGGAATGCCTCGCTGCTGCTACCGTGATTGAAGGAATTCGGGCACCAGCCCCGCGGGGCAGAGCCCGCGCCCGCTGGATCAGGCGGACACCGCACCGTGCCGCCCCGGCCTCCCAGCCCCGAGCGGCGGACGTGTCCCGGCGGGAGGCGCCCGCGAGGCAGCGGCAGCTGTCCCTCTCTTTCGGGAGAGACGGGCCGGGTGATTCACCGCCAGCTCTAGCGACAGCCCCGCTCTGACACTGAAAGTACAGCCTGGCGCTCGCCCAGCGGCTCGCCGCCTCCTCCCGCACCGCAAGCCCCTCTTCCTTAGGAAGAGCCCACCAAGCCCCAGTCCCACCGGACGCGGCTGGCGCCCGGGAAGCGACAGGCAGGGCTGCGACCTTCTCCCCTGTCACAGCCAGCCAAAGGGGAGGGGAGGAGGGGAGGATGCCGGGCTGCAAAGAGAAAAAAGCCTCCACGTGTCCGACCCGCCGTCCCCGGCTAATTAGACAACAACCCCGCGGGCGGGCACGGGTGACAGCTCCGGCCGAGCGCTCCGCCGGACCCGCAGCCCCCCGCCCGCGCTCCGGCATGTGCCGAGTGGCGTGTACCGGGGAAAAGCTAAGCCCCTCAGGCCAGAGTCGCGCTTCCAAGGGCGAAAACGCCGCACGAATAAAGGAAACAAAAAGTCGAGGGAGCGAACCGAGTCCCCGCACCCGCCGCCCACCTGTCGCCTCACCCGGCCGGGAATGAATGAATGAATGGGACGGGACGCGCTACCTGCCGCCGCCGAGCCCGCCAGACATTGTCCCGCCTTGCGGCTCGGGGCGCGCAGCTCCGCCGGGCTCCGCGCTGGCTCCTGCGGGCGGCGAGCCCCGGCCCCCGCCGGCTTGCAGCGCGGGGCCCGAGCGCCCCGGCACCGGCGGCTCCGCGGCGCGTCCCGCCGGACTGCAGCTCCGGAGGAGGGGAGCGCCTGGGCACCGGGGGCGGAGAACACCGGCGCACGGAGGACGGGGGTCTGCCCGCCCGTCCGCCGGGCGAGCCGGTTGCCCGCTGCCGCTTTCCCCCTCTCCCGTCCCGCGCCCCGTGTGACAGGCGCGGAGCGCAGCCGGCCGTCCCCCGCCCGCAGACAGCGGGTTACCTGTGCCGGGGTCTCCGGGACATCCTCGCACCGGCCGCTGGGGGAGAGGGACGGGGGAGACCGAGCCCGCGCCCGCCGCCGCGCCCTGCTGCCGGGCTGCGCCTGGGCGCTCCGCCGCCGCGCACGGGAGTGCCGAGGAGCCGCGGGAGGAGGAGGAGGAAACAGGTTGAGATTAAAGAGTAAACTCTGTAAACAGAGATGCCATCAAACAAAGGGCCCTTGGACACTCCCCCTCCCGCCAAATCTGGCGCCCCTGCAGTGCGCAGGCGCCTGGCGGGCCCGTGCCGCGGCGGCGGGGCGCGGGGCGGGCGGACCGGGGCC